CTTTCGTCTAAACTCCAGTTACTTGTGAATTTTTTATTGCAGGTCTAAATACGTCTTTGCAATTACCTCCTCTAAGGACGTGATATATTTACCGTTGTCTGTCTCTTAGCAAAATTTTGCAAAAAGTTAGAAATAGATAATAATAACATTTTGTGAAATGGCACATCATACTCTTAGAAAGAGATAATTCAATTTTGGGAAGAAAAGATCAAAGGAAAATTCGTTTTTTTTAACTCTCGAACATCAAAGATGCCCACCATACGGCCAATTTATCGGTACTTGCACAGGGCAGAGGTATGCACTCTATGAATGTGATTGCTCTACTGAAAATGTCTGACCATGAGTTAAGAGAGGACAACTTATGGCGCTGGGCTTTGCCCGTGTCTTAGTCGCGACACTATGCAGATCACTCGGGCACCATTCTTGTTCTGAACCTCGTGTGATAAAGTACGCATCTAGTAGGCCTACTGTCACCATAACAATTAAAAGTGAAATGAAATACTAGGAATTATATCGGTATATCGAACTCTGTTCCAAGGAGTCCCAAAAAGAATTCATAATTATTGTTGGATTGAAACGGTAATCTTCGACACGAACTCAGTAATTTAATGATTAATTGCTATAACAGCCATCAATGGACATTATCCGCCGAAGAAAAACATCCATAATACACAAAACAAACCATCAACATGTTAACAAAATATAGTAATCACATTACTTGCATCATGCAAAAACAACATTAGCTCATGATGAGTAATGAACGTTTAACAGACGAGATTGAAAATTTGACAGCATGGTTTTCCTGGTGTCAAAATCACTCACCTCTCTTTGAAACGCGCCGAATAAATTTTTAGGATAAAAATTAATTGATAATAAGAAAATGATAGGCTTAATAAGTGCATTCCTTGTAAGTTCATTTGAAAACAAAAGAGGTCTATTCTCATGAATCCGAGGGAAGATTAGGGTTGCTTGGTATGGATTTACATTTTAAAACAGGAAACATTTTGCAGTTATTTTTATTACACATTAATTTGATTCCAGTGACATAAAAAAACAAACCGATATAATCTCATAAATATGCTTGATGCTAGAATATGGAATTACGACACACCAAAAACCATTTTTCAAGTATGAAAGTAAAATTTTCGGGCATCTATCGGTGCCATGTCCTAAAGATGTTCAAGTTTATTTCCCAATTTTGGTGGCGTGACTCTTGGCCCTCACAGCAGGGCCTCCAAGAGGGGAATCTGCAATAGGGCCAAGGGTTGGTGTGGCCCCTGTTACGAGCTCCAAGCGCGAACTAGGTTGCGCCAAAGGCGCAAAACAGTTTGTTTGAGCGGGCCCTGTCAATCTGGAGGGGCCCATTATTAGGGAACCAGTGCCATTATTGAGTGCCCATGATAGTAATTAAAAAAAATAGTTTTAAAAAATGATACCTGCAATTTCTATGGGCCCCGGGGATCTTTCCCCTGCCCCCCTTTTTTTCAGTGACCCTGCCTCACAGTCTAACAGCTCTGTTTTTTCAACTAGGACCGTGCTGTACCACTTTTTTGAGGTGACATTTTGAGGCACATAAAAATGTACCTCAGCCTGAGAAATTTGAGAAAAATGAATTAAGTTTCTTGAAAATAGAAATAAAATAATATATAGACAAAATCTGCCTTTTGTAAAGAGGGATAATAGGGAGGTTTCGCATGCTTACGAAAACGATAACGAATACGGTTACGCCATCATTTTTTAGCCAATCCATCGCATACAGTAGAATATCTGTCACAGCGCAGGCGATCCATGATTTTAAATGCTTCAACGATCATGTAGAGCTCGTATATGTATTGTTCAGAATGTTTTTTTGCACGAATGACGATATTGACGCTGACGTATTCGTTATCGTTTTCGTAAGGTTGCGAAATCTCGCTATTACAATAGTCGAAACCTACGTAAATTCACGACAAATCCAAAATTTAAACAAGCATGTTCGATTAAACGCCTCTATCTGCCATTAGAAAATTAAGAACAAATTAACTCGAAATGCAATGAGAACGTCTTACGTCATCGATAACTCAAGTATTTCGGTCACTGATTTTATTAATTAGGATCCTAATCCTGTATGTGATGGACTTTGGTGTCTACTCAGTTATTCTTCTTAAATTTAGATGATTATTTTCCCGATTTGTCCTTTGTGTTTCAAATTAATCAGGTCTAAAGTAATACCTCCGGGCAATATTTTGTCAATATTTCGTTCAGATGCAATGACAACCACGCCATTGCTAGTGCGATATTTGAAAGGTCATTAACTATCACAAAGAAATTTTATTTCACAATGTCATCAACAGAACATTATTGAAGGTTGTGTTATATACCTTAGTTCATCATACAAATAGTATTATTGATTGTATTCCAACTTATTTTTATATTATTTTTAGCATTATATTAATAATGTTAGTATGTCTATAGTTCAGCATGATATATATATATATATATATACGTATATATATATATATATATATATACGTATATATATATATATTTATTTATTTATATATATATATATTGATTATATTATTGATTAACATCATTATCATTAGGCTTATAATCAGCATTCTAATATTCTTAATCATAATTATTTTCAACACTCTCTTTTAGCCTCATCATCAACATCATTGTCATTTTAATCAAGTAACCTTGGTTCACTAAACCTCTCCGGCGTGTCAATCAAACTTAACAACTGACAAATAGTGGCGCTAGGAATATGCGCTTATCCCACAAGCACACGTAGTTTGTTGCCTACAAAATACACGTTTTGTAGAGCTTAGCAACAATATCTGAGGGCGGGGACTTAGCCATGAGATTCTATTGTAGGCAAATGCACGCAATCAATCAATCAATGCAGGCCTAAGAGAATTGCAAAGCGTTTTGTATAGAATCGTTATAGCTACTAGCTGTATATCCATCCACATAGGAGAAAACATGTTGCAATCGTCGACACAGGTGCAATTAGTATCAAATTGACTATTGTGAATGTCTTAAATTGACTCGGACATCGTGATATTTCGTATTAAGTGATATTTCTATTCAAATTATAATTTAAAGTGACTTTTCTATGTAGTGTCCAAATGAGGTTAAACCGAATGGGGAGAGGTGCCATTGATTTAAAGGTGCAATTCCCAATTCGAAATTATATACCGGTATTAATCAGCGCCCTCAAGAGTTTAACAATTTTGTTTTTTACTCTCTTCAACAACTAGGAAAATGTCACTAGTACTACAATACAAACACATAATTTGCCTTATTTTGCATTCGATGATACATAATGCATTAAGATGATGAGAAAATACATTTAAAAAAATAAATATAGAAATAATTATTTGAATGCCTTGAAGACCCATTAAATCTAGTGTTTGTACACCAGACTTATTTCCAGTGGGGTCCAGAAGCCAGGGGAATTATTGCACAAAAGGAATATTTACAGATAGTGAGTCATGATAAAATAATACATGGTTCGGCAAATATAGAAAAAATAAATAGTACGTTAAGCATAGGCCAATGAATTTATAAAATTTAAAAATTCCTCTTTACAAACGAAAATAGCAAATCTGTGGATTCAATCTAATTACGATATTCAAACGGCTTCTTTAAATTGTATGTCATCAAATTATTTATATATTTATCATACAATATATAAAATCACATAGGGTAGCTAATATATCTTCATAAAGCGCCCTCAAAGATAATCATGAGTAGAGCAGATTTTTTCGTAAAAGAATTATAGTAATAATATAATAAGTGTTTTTTATTAGACACCCAGGATATTCTTTGGTAAATTAATATTTTATAATGGCTCGCCAAAACAAGTTTAATGTGTTTTTATTAGAATTTTTATAAACAAGATTATGGTGACCGTAGGCTTAATCAAGCAGAGAAAAATCTTCTAATGAAGATGAGGTAGACAATGCCGTAGCCAGGATTTTCAAATAGTGTGGGACAATATCAGGGTAGACCCATACGCGTAAATTCAAGCAATGTGTTCCAATTTTACGCGAAAATATGAAAAATCTGGACCTTTTTCCCGCCCATTCCTTAAATTTCACCAATTTTAAGCTAAATATGAGAAATCTAGACCTATTTTTCAAAAGTGGACCCATTTTAAGCATAAAATTACATAATTTGGACCCTTTTTTTAAAATGTGGACCCATTCTTTGTGGACCCATTAGATAAATTGTGTGGGACTGTCCCAACTGTCCCAATAGCTGGCTACGGGATTGGAGGTAGACTGTGATTATAAGCATTGACGCAAGTGTATGGGTTGTGATATAAAGCTCTGTGAAAACACTATCATATTTTGTGTGACATGCCAGTATTTGGGTTAAATATGACATCATCATGCCCATATATGGGCACATCACACAAATCTCTCACATGAAATTTGATTGTGTGGACAAAACTTAAAACAGGACTCCATTATTATTATTAATAATATTGTTTTTGTTGTTGGTTATTGTTGTTATCACTGTTTTTGTCCCTGTCGATGTCGTTGTTATTGTGATTGTTATTATTGTTACTGTATTACTTTATTTATCGCTCTGGGATATACGAAATCATGTGTTACAAATCAATAGGCCGACTTGTGTTATGTGACAGAGATTTGTTTTGTAGAAAGACCTTTGACAATAACGTGCTACATTGATAATTTCTTAACGCCGCCTTGCACATTATAGCATATCATAATCCGCTTTTATTCGAAACGAGCTTTGACGTTTCCGGCAAAACAATATCATAATCCTATTAAAACTTGTGTTTTATAGTTACTTGTCAAACGTTATATCTAATTGTGTTCACGACCGTTTTCTTTAAGGACATTATCTGCAGAGTGTACGAACCATTGATAATACTTCGACTTTGAATGAATTCATAAGCTCGTATTTCTACGTTAGTCCAGTATATAACTTAAGTGATTTTAATATATGTAAAATATTTTATAAGACAACGTTTTACATTTCAGGTCGGTTTCAAGAATCTACATGACCCTGTAAAGTAAATGGTATGTCTGTTTCATGTTTTATGGATAATAACGATTTGCATCACAGTTGAATACGCCTATGACATTTACTGTTTGCTAAACGCAAATGTCAAATTGTCGGCGTTAACATTGCTGAAATATATATATATATACATTTCTTACCATTTATAGTCCAGCATTAAATGCATCTTATATAGGTATAGACCTACATGTTTAACATCACATTTTTTTTTATTTTGTTTTTTGTTCTCCAACGGACTTACTTAATGCTCATGGAATCACTCTGCTGTGTATCCTCCGATCACTTTGTCATATATCACACCTCAGAACCACAGGTATAAAGATTAACACTTTATAAAAAAAAAAGTTGTGTAAGTAAACATAGTGCGCTCTATGATGTAGTTACATATGTTCGAAAGGTCTTGATTTGCAAGGCATTAGTTAAAAGATTAAGTGTGGCTGAACGAAGATGGCGTTTCTATAGCTGCGTGACTATTGAAACGTGTAGAGATTGTTTACTACAAGATACGTTGGCATACATGCACATCACCGACTTCGTTCCGCATGCTGCTTGTTTCACTTCAGCGCTTCTCTTAGGGAACTGGCTAAGTGGCATCAAACATGGTCAGTGAAGTAGTGAGGTGCGATTCCTAATTATAACATGTTTGGATAATAATTCCCCCACAGGTGCGCGGTGAAACAACTGAAAGTGCAACGCGTACAGTGTGATCACCTTCCGATGCCATCTTATGTACTCGTACACAATCATGTTGACTCGTAGATAATTATCAATGGGTAATTCCGGATAATAATTAATACAATATCATCATATTAATGTGTTATTATGGCCACGTAAGTGTTGCGTCGGAGTCGTAGATAGATCATCAACGTGTCGTCACAATTACTAGGAAATATATATATATATATATATATATATATATATATATATATAAGCCTTAATTAATCGATGTTTAGTTATAAAAATAATTTATAACGAAATCATGCACAATACTTGAAAATTTTAAGTAAAACTTTAGTGGCTGTTCTTGTGTGTTCATATACGGCTATGGATAATAATATACTGTAAAACTAAATTTCAAAACGGGTTTAAAGAAATCAACACTGACGATCTCGATGTCTATTTCAGCTTAATTATATGCATGCGACAGATTTATTTAAACATAATTATTGATTTTTTTTCTACCATCAGATCAATTCTATGATATCGAGGTGTCAATACAATAGGTAGCCTATAGGGAAAGTGTAAAGAAAACCAGATATTACGTCATAAATATTTTGCATGTATACTTTCACGTCAGTTGAAAATCACAGAAATCTCACATTATTTATTAAAATATAACAATAGGTCACACTTATATTAATAGTATGCGCTCTCTCTCTCCCTCGCTCTCGCTCTCTCTCTTTCTAAACGTTAGAATGAACTATACTCTCGCATATATTATCATCTCGTGAGGGAACCACTTTACATTTTTTCCCGTAGCACTTAGATCAGCTATTTTTATCTCGAGTATTCATCAACTGAAGTCGGTAATCTGCATCGCATTTAGTAAATTTAATCACAATCTAGCGGCGCTCTACCTCGGCTAATTTATGGAAGATATGTTAGCTAATTTTCTTCACGGTTATCCGAGAAGCGGCCTTAAATGACTTTGTTGTATTACCTGGATATACAATTTTCATTTTATTTGCGTCCATGATGTGCTTTAGTAATGCTTTAAGCATTATAAGACTACATTCTTCCAAATTTTTATTTATAAGTGATTACAATTCTTATTCTTAAAATCCTGATAATTCTATATTATATTTCGGGTTCATTTAGTTTTTTGCTTGACCATAACCACTATTTCAAAATGATCTTGGAGTTTCCAAGACATTGTATTTACATACAGTTTCCTTTGTTTATTGAAGGAAAAACAGTTTACAGAATTAAACTGCAACTTGTTTAAATCTTACGACTAAAAACGGTCATGACATGGAATGATTCATAAGTTATTTTCAATTCAATTCATTATCTTAATTGCTGTAAATAACATCGATAACTGTCATCCACTTGAAGTTGAGCACAACGCTACAGAGGTTCAAGCGTAAAAAGTGCATTTTCCTATGTTTTATTAAACATTCAGTTTTTACTATTGTCACGTTGCAATCACAATGCTTTTTTTGCCTAATAGCAAGGTCTTTTGCAATACAAACAACTGTTTTTAAAGGGAAAATAGACTTCATTCCAAATTAAGGGCAGACAGTATTTTCCTGCAAACCAAAGTATATGTCTACATTGGAACATGTTCTTTTATGTTTTAAGAGCACAGTGAGAGACAATTAATGATAGAATTTTCGGCTAGAAAGCTTCAGATTATTTTATTAAAGTTTTAATTTTTTTCAGGATAATTTACGTTTTACATGAACATTTTATGTCTAATAGGCCTTTTATACCCTCAACACCTAGGCCTAGTAGTAACCGGTAACTACCACCAGGCGCATCTGTAATGAGCGAGTCGAGTGGCCGAACTATGAAAGCAGTGACGCCGCAACCTACTGTATTATGGAACGCCAAAAGGACAAAAATATAATTGGCAGCAGTGCAAAACCGAGAGTCAGCAGTGCAAAACCGAGAGTCAGCAGCGCAAAACTGAGAGTCACCAGTGCAAAACCGAGAGTCAGCACTGCGCTGCTGACTCTCAGTTTTGCACTGCTGCCAATTGTATTTTGTACTGTGACTATCAGTTTTGCACTGTGACTCTGTGTTCTGCACTACTCAGTTTTGCACTGTGACTCTGTGTTTTGCACTGCTGACTCTCAGTTTTGCACTGCTGACTCTCAGTTTTGCACTGGTGACTCTCAGTTTTGCGCTGCTGACTCTCAGTTTTGCACTGCTGACTCTCAGTTTTGCGCTGCTGCCAATTGTATTTTGTCATTTTGGCGTTCCATACTGTATAGCCAGATATCGGCACTGGTTGAACAGCATTTCGGTTCAGCCCTACCTGCGGTCTACACCAAGCATGACTCCCATACGATCGCTACACGCTCTCGCCGGCAGCTTTCGGTGATGCTGATTGGTCGGTCGAATAGAGGAGCATTCCCGATTGCGTCGGGGACTACGCAGTACAGCGACAGAACTGAAAACACCATTAGTGACAGTATAGTGATTTTAAGGAAACCAGGCTTCATATTATAAGAGGTGGCAAATTTCAGGAATCAGTTCAGCCACTGAGCAATAGAGATCAACATACTATAATATTCGGAATGAAAATCGTGTACTTTTCTATCTATTTTACAGGCTCGCATTTAACGTGTGAGAAGCTAATTTTATAGTTGATTTGCATTCTCCGAAGCTGAGCAGATATGAGTAATTGAATCACGGCCTGTGTAGTTGTATTTTAATGACCAGTGTAATCCAACAGATACATTTCAGCCTTACTCGACATCATACCTGTCTCTTATACACATCTAGATGTGTATAAGAGACAGACGTTAGAATGAACTATTTATTTATTTATTTATTTATTTATTTATTTATTTATTTATTTATTTATTTATTTATTTATTTATTTATTTATTTATATAACATTTCTCAGACATCAAAACAGACATTATAATATTTAGGTACAGTCACTCGTACAATGCTGGTCCGGAGCGCAATCAACACAGCTCTGCTTTTTAAGTCACCTCGGGAAAATGCAATACATACAATGTATCTGATCTGGCCCTTTATTATAGCCAAGATATTACAAATATCATGTGATTTGTGTCAAAATAGGGTAGAAGTGGTTAGCGCATCGGTTGTGGTTTGGACTCCCAACCTCGAGGTCGGGGGTTCAAAACTCTCGCTGTGCAAGTCGCTTGTGTCCTTGGGCAAGGCACTTTATCTACGGTTGTCTCTCTCCACCCAGGAGTAAAAGTGGGTACCTAGTAGGTTCAAACACAGCCTGCGCTGAATACAGCTGCAACATTATGGAATTCCCCTATGGGGCCTGAGTGTGTGTTCCATATGTGCTTGATCCAGTGATCCGGGGTAATAATGTTCAGCGCATAGAGAAGTTTGATATGCGCTATATAAGTATACAATAATAATAATAATAATAATAATAAAAATGCATTCAAGTATTATCAATACAGAAACTGATAATCAGGAAATTATTTTTTAGCAACCTGCGCATGTGGAGTATGAATTAAGTTAACGCCCGTGAATCAAATATTTCAACCAGATTTCTGTATTAGGGACATTAATTCAAAAAGATAATTAGGCCTGTTTATCAGAGCTAAGATTTCTGTAGCTCAATGAAGTTTGATTATAAATGAAGCATTATTGGGTTTCTTACAGTTACATCGTGAACAGCATTTAAGTGCAGGCTTATATAAATAAAGCTCATTATTCTTGCATATCAAATTAATTGTTTTGCGATTTTACTTTACATAGATTTGGCCTTCCACTGTCTATTTGTGTGAGGATTTCAACAAATAATATTATTATGGAATTAATGGGATTAACAAGATCGCGTCATTAACCTAAAAAGTGTTTACAAAAGCATTCTTTGTGTCGTGTTTTTACATAAGGCATTAATGTTTTGTTGAAGTTTCTTCCACTAATTTGAAATCTGTCTAAGGCCAATTACAGTACTACAATCTATTGTTGAAATTCTGTTCTCATAATTCAGTCTTATAATGTAGTCATGTCCGTCTTCATTCCCTTTTCCTTAAAAAAATATACACGTCTATACTCTGTGTGATCTGACGGCAATGCGTGATGTACATTTTGCATTTTGACGACGTTTTTTCCATATGTAACTCTTTGTGCAATGGCGAGAATCAAGCATTTTATCAGTTCTATTTTAGTAAAAATAAGAGAGAAATAGGCTATGATAATACATGCTTACACAACACACAAATACATTGTAGTTGGGATGTACCTTGGTAGGTAGAATGCCTGCTGTCCGATTTAAAATGACTCGGTTCAAGTACTCCATAATAATCAAGTCTCTCTTCTGTTCTATGATAAATAT